ACCGGCGGCTGTGAAGGCCCCACACCGGTGCCTAGCTGAGGGCCCCACACTGCCACCTCTGAGTGCAACCGGCACCCCTGAATGAGGTCCCGAAACCAGTGCTTCATAAGGCCATATATCGGCGGCTCTGAGGGCTCAACGCTGGAGCCTCTGACGGCCTCAGACGGGACCTGCGCATCGGACGGCCACTCACCGGTGACTTTTGAGGGCCCCACACCGACGACTCTGAGGGCCCCACTGGCGTCTGAGTGTACCTTGCTGGGCTCTAAGGACTCCACAGGGCTCCCGAAGGCACCGCAAACCTCTTGAGAGCCCCTTGTCGGTCTCTGAGAGCCCCTGTCGGCCTGTGAAGGGTTCGAGCCAGCAGCTCTAAGGGTCCCACACCCGACTGTGACGACCCCACACTGCAGTGTCTCTGAGGGCCCACAACGGCAGCTGTGAGGGCCCTCACCGGCGCCTCTGGGGACCCCGCACCAATGCCTCTGAGAGCCTCACACCAGTACCTATGAGGGCCCACACCAGTGCCTCCAAGGGCTTCATAGCCGGCGGCCCTGAGGGCCCTACACGGGTGATTTTGAGGGGCCTACCGAAGGCACCACACAATCCCTGACAGACCCTTAGTCTCGCTGAGCTTCTATCCCAATCCCATACCGGCTTTTATCCCAATTCCGGCTCAACTTATTAGCAGCCCCCCCCCCTCCATGGGTCAGCAGCGCCGCGCCGGTGCCGGGGGCCAGCGCCATCGGGGGTCGGCCACGCGCACTCAATGGTTAGCGCTTAGCACCGGCGGCTAGCGCACGCCCGGTGTGTTATCGGCCGTGAGCCACTCCAAAACGGCTGTAGTAACTGGTCGATATAGGTAGTAAGCAGATGCAGAGATGCAGGTGGATTGATGACCGGCAAGCTTTTGTGTTTTACGAGGGTGAAGGGTCGAAGTCGGCTGCTGAGTGGTGAGCGGATTTTATCAGATGCCGGTTCACTATGACCTTTGTCCGGGTCCTGGTACCCTGACGCACTCTTGGAGAGCTGAATCACAGCAAAACTCAATCCACGACTGTGTCTATACGGCTTACGCTTTTCTGAAAACGTCTCCGTTTGGCCTTCTACGGGCCCGGCCGGCCGGCCGGCCCCGATTGGCGGTCCACCAGTGACGTCACCGGTAGTGTTAAGCTGATTGGCGAATAATACATGGGAAGAACCGGGACGACATCCCCCTGTTTCAACTTATGATAAATAGCGATCACAGCAAGTGGTAGGGCCATGGATAAAAGAGGTAGGGCCGTAGGGCCCTCGCTACAGCTAAATTAAAAAGTTTTTGATGACGTCAAATACAAATTACTCGGCCTAGATACAAGACTCGCAGCAAATTTGTTTCTAATAACTTCTTATTTTTCAGGGTGAAGTATTGTTGTATCATAAATTATGCAATAAAAGACATTTATCGAAAAGATTCTACGAATTCACTTCCATTTTGATGAATTTTGAGCAGAAAAGGAAACCTTCGTAAAATGGTAGCACAATGCGTTGCATATATGACGCAGCTGTTTCAAACGATTTGGGAAAATCCCCCGCGTGGGAGTCTGTGTCTTTTTTATCTTATTTTGCAAAGCTGAAACCAGAAGCATTTCCACCTTGTGTTATTTTGATTTTGTCGTGAAGCAATACAAAATATTTGGGCTCGTTCAGCCTTCACTATTCGTCTGAAATTGGTAAATGATTTTAAAAGGGAAATTGTGAAATTGTTGCCTATATCGCATTCTTGAATCAGTCCCCTCATTTCAGTTGGGGAAACTACGAGGCGAATGTCAAAAAATGGATTGGTCAATAAATGGACTTTTGATGACCATATATGGGCATAAATGCAGCCCCCGCTACTAAGGGTGAAAAACGGTTTAACAAGCCGGTACTTGCGGTATCGCGTCCACTTGTTGGAGAGAAAAGGCTTCCATTTTTCACTAGCAATCAGTGTGATTTGATTAAATTCAGCGAATTGACTCGAAAATGGCGATAGGAAAACGGTTTTTCTGCAGGTTCTGGGCGTCACAATCAGCTGGCCATTCAATAAATGGATTGGTTTTATGAAAGAAAATTGTTAAAAGATTTATTTTAATTACAATAAACAGAAATATTTAAATATAAGATAATAACTTAACTACAATTAGAAAAACCATAAACAAAATAATAAAAATAATGACATTTCTAAACCACGGTAATGCTTACATTTTTTGGCGTGTCTGTTTCAATCCGCCATATTTGCCAATCACGGTTTGACCTTGCGTTGTAACTCTGCGATTTAGAGCCGCCAGTTAATTATGCACCGGGTGAGTGTAGGCCTTGTGTGGTTAAAAAACATTCTTATGCCTTATTTTTTCATTTGAATGCTAGAATTCATTGAAAAGATGAAGTTGTCTGATTTTATGACCATATATGGTCATCGCCCCGCCCACTCCAGCCGCTGATTGGCTAATCCAATTTTTGTTTGGCTCCTCGTAGTTTCCCCAACTGATTTCGATTTGCTCAATATCTAGGTTTTGATTACCTCTATATTTTGATAATTAAAAATGCTTCAATCTCATTTGAATTTACCTGAATGATGCATTAAGCTAGGAATTAACTCCCTCAATTATGGGAGAATTCTGACTTGCTAATCTATAAATCAGATCAGATGGGTGAAAGATCTTATTTCATTTCCTACAATTTTACAGTTTTTCTAAGTAAACTGCTTAAACAAGAGTAACTATAGACCTGTGATTGCTTATATTGTATTCCACACATTATGTACCTACATGGAGTAGGTACCCATCTAGTGATAAAGTCAGATGTAAAATAAACACAATTTAAAAGACACTAGCCTAGAATAACAAGGTGCATGTCCCAGCCCATAAAATATTTGTATTTGGTTAGGTACCTATTATTTTGAGATGTCTGCACTTTGATACCTTTCTCTCAAAACATCATTGCCCTACATCAGCCTTGCATCAGCCTTTCCATTTGTTCCCTTTAGCATCACCATTTTGTGTGATTGGTACCCAGACTTTTGCTGTCTATGGTTCAGGCTTTTTGTTATGCTTATGTGCCAATTTATATCATTTTCAATTTTTCAGTCATTGGAGGTTCAACAAACATGGATGAAGACCAAGTATGCCCAAGATGCAAGACCAGCAAGTACAGAAATCCTTCAATGAAGTTAATGGTTAATGTGTGTGGACATCCTCTCTGTGAAAATTGTGTGAACCTTCTTTTTGCCAAAGGTAATAGGAAATTGTGTAACAAGAATGTATTTATCAGCTGATGCATCACCTACACTGCAAACTATACTGCATGGTTTGCTAAGCTCTTAAAATTTTCACGGTTCTCAATTTGCATGATGCTAAAGTACACTATCAATTAAAGCTGGAAAGTTAATTCTATCTAGAAATGATGTCAGAACTATAAGTTGCTCTCATGACATCTATAGTGACTAGTATAGAAAAGCACTTAGACTGATGTGTATCATAAACTGCAACTACCTGTGTGCACTCTGTACTCAGCAGTGTTTATTCTGACAAAAGACCAGCACCCTGTACTCACCCACCACCAACAGCAGTAGTAGTACCGCCGACCAGTCTAACCATCGCTCGCCGCCCGGCGCAGGCTCGGGCACCTGTCCGCAGTGCGACGTCCCGCTGCGCCGCAATGGCTTCCGCGTGCAGCTGTTCGAGGACGCCGGCGTCGAGAAGGACATCGATATCCGGCGCCGGATCCTGCGCGAGTTCAACAAACAGGAGGAGGAGTTCGCCACTCTGCGCGAGTACAACGACTACCTGGAGGACGTGGAGACCATCATCTACAACCTCGTCAATGGCATCGACGTGCTCGCCACCAACAAAAAGATCGAGGCCTACAAGAGGGACAACCGCGAGTCGATCGTGCGGAATCGAGCGCGCGGCCGCACGGAGGAGGACGAGCTCGACGAGATCCTCCAGATGGAGAACGAGCTGAACGAGGAGCGCGCGCGCGAGGAGCAGGAGCGGCTGCAGGCCGAGAAGCGCAACAAGGTGCAGAAGAAAGAGGCGCTAATAGACGAGCTCATGACCTCGTATGGTGACGCCAAGAAGATCGTGGCCTCTCACACCAAGGTGGCCGAGCCGGAGGCGCCGGTGGCTCCCAAACCGCGCCCCAAGCCGACCCAGTTCTCGAGTGGTGTTCGGATCGGCGGCACGCGGCTGCCGGCGGTGCCGATCGTCCCGCAGGACGAGGGCGAACCGTTCGTGTACGCGGCGCCCCAGCTGGCCATGGACGGTCCGGCGGCGCCCGACTCGGAGCGGCTCTCCGCCGACGGCTACCTGTCGCACATCAAACGGGTGGGGGACGCCGAGCGGGCCGGCGGGTACGCCGCCTCGCTCGGCTGTCTGCGCGCCCTCCAGGAGGGCATGGCCGGCCTGCTCTTCTTCCCCGGCGCCGACGGCTGAGCCGGCCGGCCGGCGGTCATAGACTGGGACTTTTGGTCAGTGATCTCTACTCGGGTGACGCCAGGACGGTAACTAGGTGACACCGGGTTGGGTGACTACTGGTGTCGTGAGCTGTGAGGTGTCGGCACAGAGCTCAGAGGCGTTACGATAGTGCCTGTCTGGCTGTGGCGCTGGCCGGAGCCCGCCGGCAGCCCCTCGCCGGTGCCCGTTCCGCCATCCACACTCGTCATGATGCAGCGAGTTGTGGGGACTGGGGAGCCCCCCGGCCCTGCCGGGACCTTTGTGATGCAGCCATCTGTGGGGTCTGGAGAGCCGCCATGGTCCTAATTGAGCTGGTGCATTGCCTCGTTCCTATTGGCGATGCCTATTGTTGTTGAAGTTGATGCCATGCACATGTTTTGTAATTATTTATAATAAATGCGATGTGTCCTTTGGGTTATAGTTTAAGAGACGCCTCACATAAACGTCACTCATGGATTCTGAGGAAACCGCGGATATCGTGATTGGATGTTGGAAACTATTTCGAGTACAGCCGCGACACTCTTCACATCACTGATATACACGTGTATTTCAGACATATGTATCATCTAACCGTATTACCACAGCCCGCGGGACAAAATGCCCATTGCTAACGTGTACCTGTGGAACGTATGGTCCGACGGAAATAGTCGACATGTTGCAGGTATACGCGACAAAGTTCACGTAAATGCACGGTATACGGTGCGTAAGTATCCTGGAACTCATAATCACACAACATACGATACAGCATCAAACAAATAACCATCAGTCCGAGGCTTAACATACCTACACAGGGAGAAAGAACATGATGCGTGTTGAACGCAGCAGAAAAAAATAAATGAAATGCACCAGCAGAAGACACGAAGTATAAAATAAAAAAACAGGATGCCCTCGTGTAGCGTGAAGCGTGGTAAGATACCTAGCGGTAAGCTGTAGTTTATAGTTATGTTTACAGCGATACGAGGAAGGAACAATTCAGTGGCGAATTCAATGTGGTCGTCCAGTCCACTACGAGTCACAAACAATACATAAATGTAACGTGCGGAGGGTCCGCCTCACTTTCGTTCTTCCGTACCAACGTTGTTTAATGTTTATGGTCTCAGACCACCACAGTGACGGCCAAACCTCCCATTTTGCGAGGGCAATGAGCGGCACCATAGGCACCATTACGAAACACGACAAATATCCAACCAACGAGCGTCACCTCTCACCGTTTCCATCACTGACATAACATGACTCCATTCCAAACACAGATAACAGGCAGATTCACCCCCCCCCCCCCGCGGCCCCTGGTCGGCCCCCGTCTCACCAGTCACCAGTCCCTCCGGCAGTCCTCAGTTCTCAATCCGAGTCCTCCCCGTCCCAGCAGTCCTCAATCCGAGTCCTCCCCGTCCCAGCAGTCCTCAATCCGAGTCCTTCCCTCCCAGCAGTCCTCAATCCGAGTCCTCCCCTCCCCGCAGTCCTCATTCCGAGTCCTCCCCGTCCTCCCCTCCCATGGACCGGAGAAAGGCCATGGCCACCCGCTCGGCCATCTCGTGTCGCTGGTGGGGCGGTGCGCGCGCGGCGGCCGCCCTCAGCTCTGACAGCTGGGAGAACAGCAGCTCAAAGTCGTCGGCGCCGCCGCCGGGCTCGGACGGGTCGCCGCCGCCGGGCTCGGACCGGTCGCCGCCGCCGCCGGAGCCCATCAGACCGGCCAGCTCCGTGACCAGCGTGTCTGCGGCGGGCGGGCAGCGGAGGTCAGCGGGCACAGAGGGAGGGCGTCCGTACCAGCGAGCATTACGGTCGACCTATAAGTGGATAGCGGACAGGGCAGTGAGCCAGAAGTCTAACGGAGAGGAGACGGCGATAAACAGCACCGGTGGTGGTTGGTATGGTAGGCGGTAGCTAGTTCGATACTGGCGTCCTGAAGGGATATTTTTAGCGAGTGACATTTTATAAAAATAACTCAGTAACTTTTTGTAAGGAAAATCCCGGAAATGGTTCAGTCATCCGCTGTCTGGCAGTCAGGATCCACCACGACCCGGCGTCGTACGACCCGACTCGATCTGATTAAACACTACCGATACGACAGCCCCCGGCCACCGATACTAGCCTCCCCACACGAAGTCGGCGGATCACCCACCGACAGAGGCGGCGGTGGCGGCGTCCTCGGCGGCCGCCTGGGACGCCGGCGTCGTCTCCGCGTCGCCCCCGCCCCCGCTGCCCTGGGTGCCGTTGTCTGGTACCCGCTCAGCAGTGACGTCGTTCACCAGTTTGTTGGACACTGGAGGCTGGTGGTCTGAACATGGAAGAAAAGAGTATCAAGTGAGCTAACTAGACATATAACATCCGATTAATGCGATACATACATAACCTAATACACACTAAGCTGAGTATTTTGAAAGTTGAATAAATACGATGCACAAAAAAAAACAGTAAAGTTACATCTCAGTATCTAAAATTACCGTAAGGTCCAAACCACCAATAACAAACGACCGTCAAATTTCATATTGATCTCTATATCGTACGTCTTTACGACCTTGCAGAGCCACAGCACGAGTCCCGTCCCCGGCCTGGCGCCGGCCGGTCCGTCGCCACCCACCCTTCATCTCCAGGTTGGACCAGGTGTGCGCGTGCAGCGCCTGTACTATCCGCTGCACGCCCGTCGTCTCGGGGAAGTCGTCATCGGGATCGGCCTCGTCAGCGGGGGAGAGCTCGACCAGCTCGAAGCCGTGGCTGACGCACCACTCCTGGGCTGCGGCCGGACGAAGGGGCGGGGTGGGAGGGTCAGACGGGGTGGGGACGAAACGATCGTTAAATGGCGTGTGTGTGTGTGGGGGGGGGGAAGCTTTGCTGGTTATTCAAGGTTACTTTAAGAGAACGAATCATTTTGCTGAATTGCACATATGGTATCCGATTTCGAGGCTAACTAGAGCGGTTTGTAACAGACCCATTGAATACAGTTCATGCAGCATCGTGAAATATGTAATTAATTGACATAAAAACATCAATTTCGTTATTGAACTTGCACAGTGCACATCAGAAAGTCAGCCACTTTGCGCCTGTTTGACGGTGGCGCGGCGGCGCCGCAGTGACCACCCCTGACGGCTCACCTCTGAGGCGTGACACGGGCGTGTTCTCGCTGCACGTCTCACACACCAGCATACAAACGTCCGGCTCAAACTCCTTGGTGAACGTCAGGATCGAGTCGACCTCGTCCAGTCCGTTCGCCTGCCGCACAATGGGGCACGCCATCACACATAGAGGACTGGCTTCGACAAATATTTTGATAAACACGCAACAAGGAGACTAGTAATGCTTATGTTCACACAGTCCACCACTCAGCCTAGCAGGCTATTTATTCCCGTAGTACAATAAACCCTGTTTGACATTGCGGGCCAAAACAAAAACATCGAAATAAATGAATCACTGAGCCTATTCATACCTGATAGCAAAAGGAACATTGAGAAAACGAAGTTGAATCACGTTATTCCATTTCCAATACTGCCACAGTGAAACGGCCTCGACTGGCAGCGGCTAGCAGCTAACTCGCCTCGTCCGAGTTGAAGTAGATGATGACGGCCTCGCAGCGGTCGGCCAGCGCCTGGTCCGGCAGGCCCTTCCGCTGCACGTGGCACAGACGCACGTCGGCCGTGTAGTACTTGTTGTCGACGCGCCACGGATAGCAGACGGCCATGTCGGAGACATCCTGCCGCTCGGCGCCCGCGCCCGCCATGTCTGCCCGCCGCGGTCCACAGAGGGGTCAGAGGGGCTGAGGGGCTGAGTGGGACTGGGTGCCAGTGTGGTGTGGGGAATAGTATTAAGTTCACAAAAGACTTGAATACTTCTAATAGTTAGCAATAATCTAGACAAATAAAGTGATAGTTTGCCTTCATAGATATCCAAGTGGCCACACTTAAGTAGCACACTTTAGTAGCACACCCCTTAATAGCAAGGCCTTTGTATGATTTTCATGGGCACCTAGGAAGGTACTTTTCACAAATAGTACTGTAGAGTAGTTGATTCTCAGTTGGTTGGGATGGTTCATGTGGAAGTTATCATATGGACATTATTTATGGCAGCGTTTTAATTAAAAATGCCACAGATATGTACATTATACTGACAAATTATGGAATAAAGGATTGTATGAGTGATTTTCACTTACAATGAATAATTCTATTCACTATGGTGGCCTCTGGACCATAGATAAAGACACATGGCTCACTGTCTGACACCATTTTTGGTTCTACCATACACAAGTCTTCCCTAGTATGACCTGTCCTTTCCAGCCAATATATTCATATGCTTGCAGCACAGCTCCTGAAACAGAACAGCTCATCAGCATACAGTGCAAATAGAAAATCCATAGTCCTGGATTACCTAAAGGAAACTGATTGGGAAGCCAACAGGGTAGTTGGGACTGGGTGCACACAAAGAAGAAAATGGTGACACAAGTATGACAGATTGTAATTCAGTAACAGCCAGTCTCGTAGCAGACAAGAGCATGCCTAAGGTGCGTACTGCGTACTGAGGCTTCATAAACAAAGACAAATGATGATGTCAAGAGGCCATCATCAAATGGTATTTGTAAGCAAAGTCAGTTGCAGAAGGTTCCTACTGGGCAAGAATAAGACTCATTTCAATTTGGAGTCGCCTAAACAGCAACTATTAAAAATGATGCAGCACAATGTCAAGAAGATTGCATTTTACATTGCATCATAGATCCTAGGTGATGTCACGTATCATTGTTGTCATCAAAGACTTTGGGCAGAAGGCAGTAATTCAGGTGTCACACTTGCTTTTTCCAACCAAGGAGAGGTGCTGTAGGTTAGGTTGTAGGTTTTAGTTTGTAGGTTTTAAGTTGAAGGTTGTAGGTAAGATTAGGTCAATAAGGTTTGGTTTGGTTTGATTAGAAAGCATCTTTGGGTAGGTATAGCACCTCTCCTTGGTTGGAAAAAACAAGTGTGACGCCTGCTTTACGACTACCTACCAGACTCTGAATGCTGTCTAAATGTACCTACAGTCCTACCCTAGGTGTATACCATCAATTTTAGATAAAAATTTAGACAATTCTCTTTGATCATTTGATGTAAGGTGATCACCTTAGTATTTGAATAGTACGAAACTGCCCAAGTCGACTCAGGCAATTTCGTACTATTCAAATTTAAATGTAAAAGTTTCCAGCTTTTGCCTTTGTTGAGTGGATATTTATCAGAAAATTGATTGATGTCTTTATTTCAATATCATGATATGGTATGTGTATTGATAACGATATTTTTGACATGCACATTGACATACTACTCTTTAGTCTTTTGTATGATTGCCTTCCTAAAAGCATGCCTAGGAAGAAATTACGATTGATTTCCCTTTAATTATTTATGAATCGCTGATATTTTGACATTTCTGTCCATTTGAAATTACACACCGAGTACTGAGTAGGTATCTAAACAGTAAACAAACATTTCATTCTGATTCGAAATAAAATTCTACCAAGGCCCATACACAACACAGGGTTCGACATATGTCGTTGGTGCGTCATTTTTGTAGAGGAGAGATAGTAGCGTTCAGAGTTCATTAATAATTAGAATCGGTTCTTGGCACTGAATACTTTTTCTTCCTTCTTCGCTTGTAAAAACAATTATATGAGCTAATTGAACAAATAATGATTGGTAAGGCAAAGATTTAACTTCAAAAAAAACTTTATCGTGAGTTTGGCTCAGTTTTTCTCATTATTTGTCAAATCTCGGCAGTCAGCTTTACTCAACAACTCAAAACTTCTTTGGATCCATTTCACCACTACAGTTGCAAATGGCGTAGTGGTTTTCGGGCAAGATTCTGCGGGTAATCGACTATCTGTTTTCTACTGCCCTACGATGGAGGAGGTGAGCCGAAGTTCAAGCCAGGCAGTAATTAAAAGATGGCTCAGGTTCGGCTCAGGCAAACCAAACACAATTAAGATAACTTAGTTTGGCTGTTTTTTTAGCCTCACCCTCACCCCAGCCTGTTGTTGTATCGTTACGACCAACAACCTATATTTATATACACTGTGGTTACGACTTCCGAGAAATGTCAGCGAGAGTAGAATAACCAGTGAAAAACTGCAAGAGTTATTGTAATGGGACTAGATCAATGCAATTCTCAAATGATTGTTATAATACTTGTGTACCATTTCAGGCTCAGACGGAGACTGACCGCCGCGCCGCCGCGCCCTCCACCAATGCCTCGGAGGCTGCCATTGACCCCCTTGACATTGACCGAGTGGAGGCGGGGCCGAACACGCTGGAGACGATCGTACTGAGCGTGGTGGGCGCGCCGACCGAGTCGGGGGCCGCCACCAGCCAGGAGGCGGCCGGGGACAATTCGCCGTCCAAGGCCCCGCCGCAGTCCCGGCGCCTGCAGCGCTACCGCTCGACATGGGAGAACATACCGGAGCTAAAAGGTGGGCGTAATTGACGCTGCTCTTACGGTGCCATTCGGGTCCCGGAGAGCTATCGTTTGTTTCGGTATGCTGACTGGACCGTCCCTTCTTCCCATCCCAGGCTGACCGGTCCCTCCCGCCGCTCCCCTTCCCCAGACTGGCTGCAGGGAGTCGACGGTGACCCGTACTCGGCGTGGTGCCGCCACTGCTGCAGTGGACTCGTCTGTCACCTGAAGAACCTCATGCTCCACGCGCGCAGCGCCAAACACCTGAAGCGGAGTCGGGGTGCGCGGCCGGCGCCGCCGCCGCCGCCGTCGGCGCGACTGGGCCGCGGCCGCCGGATGACGCCCGTGCTGGCGGCGCCTGCGCAGGGCGGGCGGCGGCGCACCTCACGCCGAGCGGTGACGGTGGTGCTGCCGCAGTCGCCGCAGCGCTCCGGCGGCAGCCCGGAGCGGTCCTTCAGCCCGGCGGAGGACTCGCCTCCCCCGTCCTCCGGGTACCCGACGCCGAGCCGGCCGCAGCCCACCGCCGACGTCTCCTACGGGGTGAGGGCGGCGTGAGGGGGAGTCCTATTCGGAGACAAGAAGTGTGTGTGGGGGGGGAGGGGGGGGTAGATGGGATCGTGGCGAGCTGCTTGGGAGATAGATATTTGGACAGATACTGAGGTTCGCCGCCAGTTGGCAGTCGGCACTTATCCTTGTCACCATTATCTAAGCTGTGCCCGGTGCCGTCCGTTTCAGGACATTGACCGTGTTAACTACTCCATTGGCCTGCACAACCTGACAGTGGGCTTCGTGGGCGCCGGTAACATCGCCAAGGCCACGACCAAGGGCATGCTCGACAAAGGTCAGTCACGTGTGACACCTGGGCTCTTGCAGTACTCTGACCACTGAGTCACTGGTGTACGATTTGTCACGTCCTAATCCGGTGTGGAAGCTATCGGTGTTACCCTCTGATCTGGTGTAACCAGTAGGTATCGGTGTTAACTGTTACCCTATTGGTGTGGCGTGTCCTCTGATCAGTTCTCTGGTGTGTCGGTGTTACCCTCTTGTCCGGTGTACCTGGCGCCGGTGTAACTCGGATCCGGTGTAACTGATGCCAGTTTTCACTCTGATTCGGTGTTGCTGGTGTGCGGTGTAGGTAACTCTCTGATCGTGTGTAACCGGCAGGTATCGTCTCGCCGGCCTGCGTGATCACCAGCGCCCCGACCCGGCTCCGTTTGGACACGTGGCGCCTCTGGGGCTGCTCCACCACCACCGATAACGGTGAGAGACGGGTCGACATTGGTGAGAACCGGGTGTACAGCGGTGAGAAACGGGCCGACAACGGTGAGGGACGGGTCGACAGTGGTGAGAACCGGGTCGACAACGGTGAGAGACGGGTGGGCAGTGGTGAGAACCGGGTGGACAGCGTTGGGAGGCGGGTGGACAGTGGTGAGAGACGGGTCGACGTCAGGGTAGAGTGAATGAATGAATGGGTCGACGTGGTCATTTAGACGGGACGGGTCTCGCGCAGTGGTGAGGGAAAGATGGCATTTTCAGACGTCCATAGGAGTTGCCATACTGGCACAGTACATAAGAGTTTCCGCGATTATCTGAATTTGAACGGTGGAATGTAGCCGATCCGGTGACTGTGTGTCTGTGACTGTGAGTGTGTGACTCTGTGTCTGTGTTTGTGACTGTGACTGTGTTTGTGCCCCGTGTAGCTGAGGTGGTTCGGGAGTCGGACCTGGTCCTGGTCGCCGTCCAGCCCCTGGTGTTTGTCTATGTTTGTGATTGTGACTCTGTGTCCCGTGTAGCTGAGGTGGTGCGGGAGTCGGACCTGGTGCTGGTCGCCGTCCAGCCCCTGGTGTTTGTCTATGTTTGTGACTGTGTTTGTGCCCCGTGTAGCTGAGGTGGTGCGGGAGTCGGACCTGGTGCTGGTCGCCGTCCAGCCCCTGGTGTTTGTCTATGTTTGTGACTCTGTTTGTGCCCCGTGTAGCTGAGGTGGTGCGGGAGTCGGACCTGGTGCTGGTCGCCGTCCAGCCCCTGGTGGCCGAGTCCGTATTCGCCGGACTGGGGGCGGCCCTCACTGACGGCAAGGAGCGCTGCTTCGTCTCACTGGTCACCGGATGGACCCGGCAGCGCATCATAGAGGTAACGCACCTAATCGGGAAATTCGTCAGGAGATTAAGGTGTAAAATAAGTGAAAAATCAAGGAGATTAAGGCGTAAGCCGTAAAATAAGTGCAAAACTTTAGAGATGATCGTGCTGCCGGCCTAGCTTCTTCAAACGCGATTTGTCTATTATTTTTTATCCGTTAACCCATCGTTGTTGATCTGGAAGCTCTGTCGTCACTCTGTTCCCGTTTGTCCGACAGACGATCAGCTCGCGTCGTCCAGTGGGGGCGCAGCAGACGCCTTTTCACGTGGTACGTTGCGTGCCCAACCTGCCCGTCTCGATCGGCGAGGGGAGCACAGGTGAGCTCGACGGAACTCGGCGGAACAGTGCGGAGTTCGGGGGGGGGGGGGTCCGTCCGACGGATCTTGGTGAGATTGGGATGGAAAGGGTGTCTCCATCGTGTGCTGTTCCGGTAATGGAGGAAGAATGTTTCTAGTCTAGTCTCTACCCAGCCTGTCTGGCTGTTCAAAAGTGGCTCCTGGCGGCGACTGACATATACACGTACATATACCCGCCGTTTCAGTGTACTGCTGCGGCGACGACCTGCCGCGCAACTGGCTCCTCTCGGTCGAGATGGTGTTCTCGGCGCTGGGCTCGTGTCAGAAGGTGGATGAGCGGCTAATGGACGCCTACAGCGGCGCGTTCGGCAGCGGCACCGCCTACGTCAGTTAGCGCGCCGCGCCCCGCCGGGCGGGGTGGGGGACGGTATTAGCTCTGTGACCGACCTGCTGGTGTGCTACCATACCGGATCTCTGAACAGTGCAAGACAGGATGGGATAGAAACAAACTGTCGGCTATTTTAGCGTTCTTCTGATCTAATTTTGGCGCCAATTTTGTGCCCCTGATCGCTGGCGTTTTGCTGTATGCGGTTTTGATAGAATAGTGAGTGTCGTCCGTTACTAGTGGCTGGCAGCTGACAGCTCCACTGTGTCTGTCAGTGTCCCTACCTACCCCACTGTATATGAGTCCCATTACATCATCACCCCAATCCCTCTCTTTGGCCCTCAGGTGCTGAGTTTCGTGGACGCGCTGGCCAGCGGCGCCGTCCATCTCGGCGTTCCCTGGCACGAGGCACTGCAGATGGCCGCCAAAACGGTGAGGATAGACACACCACGGAGCACGCGCGCACAGACGGATAGCCCATACAGGGGCACCGGGGGCAGCTGGCGCGGTGTTTGAATCTGCTATGTCCCGGCGGTATTCCGGCATACTGATCGTGTAATTCCTGACGGTGTTACCGTGTTACAGTATTTAGGGTTACAATGTTATTGATGTTCCCCTGTTGTTCCAGACGGCCGGGGCGGCGCAGCTGCTGCTCGACTCGGACCGGCCGCTCTGTGAACTGAGCCGAGACGCGGCGGCCGCCGGCGGAGCCACGCTGGCCGGAACACGTACTCTGCAGAAGGCCGGCTTCGGGTGAGCGGCTCCACCGACACACAGACGGGCTGATTAGGGCTGACACTGGAGCCATGACTGACTAGGACAGGCAGACCTGGGTCGACAGACTTTGGCTGACAGACGGACAGGGGCGGGCAGGCAGGCTGGGGTCACCGCCAGACATATACCCCCCAGTGATGTCTAAGCATACCTTATATGCGTTGGTGTGTCAGTGCGCCTGTGTTTGTGTGCTGGTTTCCCGTCCTCTGAGTCATTACCTTGATCAGTCAGTGGCTGTACCTGCACCCCTCTGACGGGGGCCGGTCTCTCTGCAGGTACGCGGTCATGTCTGCTGTGGAGGCCTCTGCTGAGAGGTCCCGCCAGCTGGGGGAGCGCCCGGCCTCAGCGAGGGAGGGGCCGGCGGCCGACCCCCGGCCACCGCCGAAAGGTGTGGTCACCTGGGTAGTGCAAGGCACCGGCGACGGTGACACGCCAGACCCGTCCTAGGCAGTGCCAGGGACACGTGAAAGGGGAGGGGAAGCTGCCTCCGCTGTTCCGCCGGGGGTGGGAAGGGTTGTGTGTCGTGGTTCAGTGCGTGGGTCTCTCTCTTCAGTCGGCCATTCCAGCGGACTCGGCTGTACGCACCGTGCAGGACACTGTCCTGTCCACTGACAGATATCGCTCTTCAGAACGATTTGCTGCAGTGCAGTGCTTTGGAGACTGTGGTCCAATGTAACGGTTCGCCGTGTCAGTGCATGGTTTCCAAGGAACTCGGCGTCTTGATGTTCCCCATACGGTGCGTCGATGTCCTTCATAATGCGATGACGATAATTTTGACATGTGCCGCACTACCATCCAATACATGCGTCAAATACATTCATCTTCAACAACCTTTGCATTTGACAACAAATATTGGAACACGATGGAAGGCAAGCTACACAGCACGGATGGGCAATTCGATGAGTTCTGACGGTCCACAGGCTCTCTATTTCCCACTGGCCCAATAATATTTAACATGCTTAGAGGCAATACACGGTGAGTCTGCTGGTGGACGGACAATATTCCGACTCGCCACATTCACAGTTCAATTCTCTATCCTACGCCGACAACCCTAGGCCGCACAGCTGGCACAGTGGGACGGAAAACACAGCACAGGTAAGTGAACTGTGCGGCACACAACCACCACTCAGCACACAGGCTGGTCCCACGGACAGCCCTCACCGGGCGGAGTGAATCACAGCAGCACAGACGCGCTCTGCCACCAGCGGTGGCCCCGCGGCGCCGCACCACTCACCGGCAGATCCTGAGATCAGAAGGCACCACCGTCCCACCCACTGACGTACCGTTCAGAGGCCGACTCTTAGAGCTCGGCGCTCAGAGGCCAGCTCCTATATTAGCTACGCGCCCAGAGCCCATATCTTGCAGCTGGTCCGCGCCAAGGGCTAGGCGCCCACTGGTCAGCTGACTTACCGGCGTTCACAGATCAGCGCTCAGATTTCTGTTTGTCTGACGTAGCGCCGCCGCCAGACGGCCATCAGCTGCCGCGTGGCGTCTGTGAGCAGGTCGCCGGCCAGCTGGCTGCTCAGCTGCTCCTTCACGGTGGCCGCGTCGGCGTCGTAGTTGATCCAGTCGGCCTCCTCCTCCTGCAGCTCGCGCACCAGCACCTCGTCGACGCGGTCGCGCCGCTTGCGCGCCCAGCGCACCATCAGGTTCTCCCGGGCGGCGGCCGGCCGGTAGCCGAGCAGCACGGCGGTGCGCCGCAGCACGGCCTCCGTGAGCGCCGCCGGGTCGGCCGGCGGGCGCGCCGCCAGCCGCCGCGCCGGCCGACCACGCAGCCAGACCGGCGGCGGCGGCGCCACGCCGGCAGCGGCCGCCTGCTGCGCCGCCGCCGCCGCCAGCCGGAACAGGAAACGTCGGAACTGGCGCTTGGCCGAGCGTCTCTCGTCGGCTATCTCGGGCTGCTCGTCCCCGTCGCTGGCGCGGCCGTCCGAGCCGGAGCCGCTGCCGTCCTCTGGCTCGCCCTCCCCGCTGAGGAACTGCTCCGAGGGCTGCGGCTCGTCGCCCTCCCCGGGCGGCAGCTGTCCGTCGGCCAGCAGGGAGTCGCAGGCGCGCCGGACGATCGGCAGCACGCGGCCGGCGCCGTGCGGCACCAGGCGGAGCGGGCGCGCGGCGCGCTGCTGCTGGTCGGCGCGGCTCAGCCGGCGGCCCGTCTCGGCCTGCTCGCGGTACGGCGGCGGCGGCTTGTTGGGAATCTCCCGCACGTAGAGCGCGCCGCCGCCCGACAGCTGCTGCAGCTTCTGCAGCTCCTCCAGACGGCGGATCTGAGGGACAGCGGACGGCACACCCATGAGACGGAGGAACAACGGCACAGCCGTGATACGGCGCCACACATAATTTCCTCTCGCGGTCTATCCTCCCATCTCCCCCATTCCATTGCCTCACCCCTTAAATTCTCCTCTCCTGCTCTGTCTCTTCACCCCGCCTATATCCTCTTACCTCCTGCTCCATCTCTTGTCCCTGTCTCCTTATCCCCTGCTCCTATCTCCTCACCTCCTGCTCTATCTCCTGCTCCTGACTCCTTACCTCCTGTTCTATCTCCTGCTCAGGCGCGGATAAAGGGGGGGGGGGCCATGGGGGCCATGCCCCTCCCCCTTGGCCGATTTTTTTCAAAAATAAAATAAAAAGTTAAAAAGCTGAAAAGGGGGCCTCCTGAAAATAAAGTGGCTATTCATGTTGAGATGTTGCCTGAACAGCTAGATAAGCTCAATAGACGCAGTTTTTTTTTGGGGGGGGGGGCCAACAAGTGGGAAGATGGGGCCTCCAACAGGTGGGATTATGGGGGCCTCCTGGTTTCTAATGGCCCCTCCCTTGGAGATTTTCTGGATCCGCCCCTGCTCCTGCTCCTGTCTCCTTACCTCCTGCTCTATTTCCTGCTCCTGTCTCCTTACCTCCTGTTCTATCTCCTGCTCCTGACTCCTTACCTCCTGCTCTATCTCCTGCTCCTGTCTCCTTACCTCCTGCTCTATCTCCTGCTCCTGTCTCCTGAGCTCGTTGTCGCGGCTCTCGCTCAGCCCGAAGTCGTCGTCCATCCACACATCCTGGACTGAGACGGGATCGGCCGGCGCCCGCGGCGGGTGCAGCCGCGGCGCCAGCGGGCGCAGCACGTCACCATCTGCGGAGAGAGGCAGGTCAACGCCAGGACGGGACACAATCGAGGTTAATATGAATAGAGCGATCTTAATTCGGGAGAATATTGGTATCTCAGCGATACTTACTAGAATTTATAGAGCTTTTTAAATGTGGCAAGCTTTGAACAGAATCGCTGCCACGCAACAATGATTTACTCCATATTTAACACTATCATGAGCCATCAAATTTTCGAAAATAATTTAGTACCATGCCACTGCTGCACCCGTGCTCACCGTTGTGCGGCTGCTCGCTGTGCTCCACCTGCTGTCCCTGATCGTCCCGCTGTCCCGGGCCGGCCCGTTGCTGCCCCCGCCGCCAGCGGCGGAGGATCTCCAGCCAGGCGTCGTCCAGCAGTCGTGTCAGCACGGCCTGTACCACCCGCTCGGTGCGCTGCTGGGAGTCCGGCTCCCCGGCCGGCCGCTCCTCCCGCGGCTCCGGCTCCGGGACCGGCTCCCTCACCCACACAGGCTCCTGCGCCGCCGGCTCCTGCGCCCAGGCAGGCGCCGGGACCGGTTTGGCCGCGGCCGGGCGGGCGGTAGGAATCGAGAACGTCAGCTCCACCTGTTCACAGAGGGTCTCCGGATCGAGCGAGACGACTCGCGCGCGCCGGCCAGCCGGCCGCTGCCACGGCGCAAAGTCGGTGACGGCCACCAGCTCCTCCGAGGCCCCGGACGAAGACGAGTGGTCTTCGTCGGCTGCAGGCTTGTCCTCGTCCTCCCGAGGCGATTCCTCGTCGACCGGACTGTGGCGGTCCGCCGGGATGTCGCCCTTCTCACCGGCAGAACTGTGCTCTTCTTCGGCGACGCTTTTGTCCTCGGCGACGCTTTTATCTTCGGTGGTGATACTTTTATCCTCTGGTGCGGCGCTGCGTCCCTCGGAGGCGGCGCTGTGCTCCTCCCCGGCCCTGTCCTCGCGGGAGGTGCTGCCGTCCTCCTGGCTCTCGGAGGACGCCGTGGACAGGTCCTCAGTGATGGACGAGTCCCCGGACGTGTCCTGGTCAGACGAGGTCGTCTTGGTCTCTGATGAGGATGACGTCTCCGTCGTGCGCGTCCGCTTGGACTCGGAGGTGTCCGGACTGGTTTTGTCCTCTTCGGTTTCCTCTCGTTCTGATTTCTCCGACTTCTCTGCCGGTTCGGCCTGTGCTATCTTCACGTCTTCCTTCAGTCGGGCGCGGGATTTACCAATAATCTCCTCCAGTAGCGCGTCAGCCTTGGCTTCATCCTGCTCTCCCGCCGCGGCTGTGGCAGGCTCTCCCGGCTGGTTCGCCGCTGCGGCGCCCCCGGTGGACTCCTCCAGCACAATGAACGTCTTGTCGGGCCTGGCGGGCGACAGGGACGGCCGCCAGCCGCGGCTCTGGAACGACTCGTCCAACAGCGAGCGCAGCAGCTGGTCCGTGATGGAGGTGGCCAGCCGCTCGCGCTGTTCGTCCGAGAGGCGCGCGCGGCCGACCGGCTCCGGTCGCTCGGGCGCCGGCTGGGCGGCGGGCGGTGACGGCGGCCGAGCGGACACCGCCTTCGGTTCAGCCTCAGGTGTGAGACTGGGCTCAGCCGCCTCCTCTGCGATCGAAAGCGAGGTGTCGGTGGCCGCTGCGTCGCTGTCGTCCCGCTCTTCAGCAGCCGATTTGGCCTCGTCACCAGACGCGGGCTTTGGAGACGGACTGTGAGGAGGTTCGCGCTCACCCTCCCAGGATCTCTCCGCCGCCTCCACCGCTGTCTCTATCACCAGGGACGGCTTCAGGGACCGGTCCGCTCCGGACAGGGTTCCCTCCGACGCCGCCTCTGTCTCGGCTCGCTCAGTCACGGCCTCCGACGGTACGGACTCTGCCGAGCGGTCCGCTCCCGGAACCGAAGACTCGTCCTCGCTGGAAGTCGTCTCATGGCTTCTCGGCAGCTGCTGCTCAGTGGAGACCTTCGTCCCGGCCGGGCGCAGATCCAGAGCAGGCAGACGACCGAGCAGCCCTGTGTCTTCGGTAGGGGATACACTCGTCGCCGGCTTCTCTTCCGCACCGGACTCGATTTCTACGCTACGATCAGTAGCTGCGGATGTAGATGACGAAGAGCTATGGTCCGCGGATCCAGCGGCGGAGGTCTCTGCTTCGCCGAGCACCGGTTTGGGTTCGGACCGCGGCTCGGAGCGAGACTCACTGACTGACTTGGTCTGTGCGTCTGACACCGACGTCCCGTCCGACTCCGACTCCGACTCAGTCTCGGGTTTCGACTCCTTTAACTCACGACTGACAGCAGCTTCCCGCTCGCTCTGTTCGGCGGCGATCGAGTCGGCCTTTCTGGGCGGCTCGGACGCCGAAGTGTCGCTCGTTGAGCTGTCTGGTCCGGCGGTCGGCTGCTCCGTGGTGACCGCGTCAGTTGAGACATCTCGCGCGGTCCGTACCGCCGCCGACACCGCCGAGCTCGTCTTCCTCGACGACGAGGAGGTGGAAGAAGGCGACGAAGAGGATGATGAAGACTTATCCGAGCTGCTCTCCTCTGCGGTTTTGCCTCCGGCCTTCAGCGGCGACAGGGAGCGCTCGCTGACTTCCTCCACCTCTGTTGGTACGTCCTGCGCCGTCCGTACCGTGGAGCTGGTCCGCGTTTCACTCGGACTCTCGGCCGTGGCGCTGGTCCGCGTCTCACTCTCTGTCTCGCTCTGAGCGGTCGGCGCGGCGGTGCTGATGGTCGTCTTGCTGGGACTTTCCGTCTCGAAGTCTGCTGTCGGCACTGAGGCGCTGACAGACGTCTTGCTCGCCTTCTCAGTGTCGACCTGGCCGCTCCGCACAGTCGAGGTCGCCGAGCTCCGGCCCTCAGTCTCTGCTCCCTCTGTGCGGACAGATGAGCCACTGGAGGCCTCCTCCGTCTCCACGCTCTCCGTGGCGACACTGACAGACGTTTTGGTCGGACTCTCTGTCTCAAACTCCTCGGTGGGTGCTGTGACATGGCTGACGGTCCGCGGCCGCTCCCAACTCGTCCCGCTCGTGCCCTCGTCGGTGACGACCGACACGCTGCCGTCGCTGCCGCTCCCCTCGGCCGGCTCGGCGCCCGCTGCCGCCTTGGCCGGGCTGTGCACGATCGTCTCCGTGCTCGAGTCGCGTGACACGCTGGCGCTCGTATCAGAGGACCCGCTGGCCGGCGCCGCCGGGCCCGGCCGGCCGGCTGAGCCCGGGGCCGGGGCCACCGCGGAGGCCCGGCCGGCCCGCCGCTCCGCCACGCGCGGCTGCTTGATGACGGGTCGGACGGGCCGCTCCTGCTCCAGCAGCTGGGTCTCCAGCTCCAGCTCCGCCCGGCGGATGCTGGCGTCATACGCCTGACGGAGAGAACACGGGCGTCACCGACGCCAGAGGAGGGATGCTCAATACTGACAGTCAGCAGAGGCTAAATGTAAAAAGACATAAAAATGAATGCACAAGTGCAGTAGGTAATTAGGGACAAACAACCTATCAAACCCTGGGTCCATTTACAGCTCAAACGGTGAACAGTCCAGATAACGCCAGCCGGTAAGATAGTCTCCCTGCGCTCGATGTCGTCTCTTACCTCGAGTTGTTTGCGCAGCGACTGCTCCTGCTGTCGCAGCTTCTCGCGGTGTTTCCGCCTCTGTTCGCGGCGCAGACGCTCCGCCTCGATCTTCCTGCGTTTGAGCTCCTCCTGCAGCGCGAATATGCGCCCCTCCACATCGCTCTGGTCCGAGCACGTATCTGTGGGAGCCGAGAGAGAGGGGTGAGAAGACAGCGTCGGATACGCAATGCCGGGGTCGAAAATGCAGCCTACGCCGAAATCAGAGCAGCCATGAATACACATTGCTAAAAGACACTCAACACCAAATTACAGCTCCAGCATTCCGTCTGCTCACCGTTCTGGCTGAAGCTGACGCTGTCGTCGGAGCCGCTCGAGTGTCGGCGCCGGGCGGCCTTCACGGCCGCGGCCGCCGGGCCCGACAAACGCGGGGAGAGCGGCGACTTGATGGGCACCACGCGGCCCCCGCCGGTCCCGGCGGGGGACGGGCCGGCCGCGCGGCCCGTGACCAGCGCCGGCTCTGAGGCTGAGCGGGAACGGATGGTGCGCGTACTGACTGAGGTACTGGTACCAGAGGGAGAGGTACTCGAGGTGGTGGTCGTACCGGAGGTCACCTCCCGGGTAGTGCCGGAGCCAGAGGTCACCTCCCGTGCGGAGGCGGAGGTCACCTCCCGTGTCGACACGGTAGTGACCTCGCGGGTCGACCTCGAGGTCGCCTCCTGTATGGAACTCCTGTCAACAGGACAAAAGGAAAGCTGTTAATACGCGACAGCGCCAACCTTTCAAGTCAAATCAACGAGACATTCGCTGTTTGGGACGTCGAGCAAGAACATCCATTCACGGCTGCTTTTTGATCGAGCTACGGGACTGAAACGGAATATCGTTCCTCACCGGTCATCGTTCAGCCTTTCCCCCACTGTCACTCACGCGGTGGGCACGGCCGAGTCAGACATGTCACTGGACCGGTCCGGCAGCTCCTCCGAGGCCTCCGAGACGCGCTCCGCCGTGGTGTCCGCCGTGGTGTCTGCTGTAGTGTCATTAGTAGTGTCCGCCGTGGTGTCGGCAGTGGTGTTCCGCGTCCTCCGGCTACTACCGCCAGACCGCTGAAAGGAGGGAAGGGGGAAACTCAGTCAGAGAAGAAGCGAACAATGAATGCACGAACAACTGCGTTATTTTGCTACTACGTGTTACACTGATAGTAGCATCCAACCAATTTAAATTAGGGCAGCCGAAGACTGACATCAAAGCCACCTACTACTCAGAGCACTAATGCAAATACAATCACAGGCGGCGCAGAGATCCCGCGTGTCCCCCTGTCGAGTCCCTGACCACTCACCTGGCTCTGGGAGGCGGTGGCGGTGGCGGTGGCGGTGGCGGTGCGTGCGGCCGACCGACCGCCCTCCTCCTGGGACTGGGAGGTGTCGGCACCGGTCCCCGCCGTCGGCCGGTCCGCCGGGACAGAGGAGGCGGCACCTGCGGGGCACAGACCGACGGGTGCGGGTCACACGATCACACCAGACAGTTACGAGCCACACAGACAGGTCAGGTTAGGTCAGTCATCGACCGGCAGTTAGGAAACACACAGATGTGGCATCGTTACACACCACGCGCAGAAAGGTCATTGCAGGCCAGTCTCCAGGTCGGAGCAGTTATAGGAAACCTGGCAGATATACGGTCTACAAATGGGTCCGTTAAATCGAGTCAGGCACTTTCATCCCGCTAACCGTACAAATCTTTCCATGGCGTCCTTTACAAACATACAGACTTTCCCAAACAGCTCTCCGGACAGGTCTACTCCCACAGACCTATAGCATCAGCTTTCTCCCGCTGCTGGGGCACCCACTGACCGTCTCCGGGCACGCCCCGGCGCAGTGCGCGCCGCTCCAGACTGCGCACGGCCCGCTCCTCATGTTCGAGCGCCGCCTGTCGCCGGAGCACCTCCTCCACGGCCCGGCGCCGCTCCAGCAGCTGACGCTCGCGCTCCGTCAGCTGACTACGAGGGGCGGGGGGGTCAGATCAACTGCGGGGGAGGGTGTCAGACGGTCAGATCACCGACGGACGGTATGGGGAGGTGATTCGTCTGTATCGGTAACTGATGAGCTAAAGGCTCGAGAACGGCAACCGACCACAACAGAAGTCACATTCACAGCACCCGCAGACCAACCCAGCACAGTAACTCCCTCCCTCCAAACCCAAGGCTATCCCCTGACTGTCTGTCACTGGCACTCTAGTTCTACGGTACTCCCATACCCCGCACCCCTTGACTCACTGCCAGTGTAAAACATTTCATCCCTCCAGACCCCTATCCCCTGACTTACTGTCAGTGTACAACATTCCCTCAGAACTCTAGTACCCCCGCCCCCTGACTCACTGTCGACTGCCCTCGAGTCGCCGCAGCGCCCGCAGCAGCCTCTGTTCCAGCGCCCCGGTCGGCGCGGAGCCACCGCCCTGTTCGGGCTCACTCAGAGACTGCCGGCCCTCGCTGGCTGTCACGGACGACTCCAGAGGAGGAGGCGGGGAGCCCGGACGGCCGGAGCGGGGTCGGGCAGACAGCGCCGCGGCACCCGCAGACGGCTGAGCGAGAGAGACCGGGGAGGGGAATGTTATATAGTGGCGGACTGGCGCCTGAGTGGTGAACAGGACAGACAGCAAAACAACGAAGTAGCCAAACATTTCCAGCAAATGATGCTTAGGGCGCAGGTAATGATAACTTATTGATTGACTGATGAAGTCTAGGGTTGTGTTCATGAACTAAGACACCAAAGCGAGTTAGTACGGCAATACGGTACCTGCGGCTGGGTGGTCCGCTCCGTACCGCCGCCCCGGTCCCGGCCGGTCAGCTGCGCGCGCGCCAGCTGCTCCTGCTGACTGGCAATCAGCTGACGGTCCTTGGCAGCCAGCTGCTCCCCCTCCTTCAGCCTGCCAAAGAGGTTGCAGAATCAACACCCATTCGCTGAAGCATAGAAATGCTAAACAACAGTCGACTCACCTTCTCAGGCACCAACATCCAGCGGCCCCGTGGTGTAACGGTTAGCACTCAGGACTCTGAATCCTGCGATCCGAGTTCAAATCTCGGCGGGACCTGACCTTTTCTGTTTCTTAGCGCTAACTGTGACGAGTTGCCATTCCCACTCACATTTTGACATCGTGTGATTACTCCCCCCAAAAAAACTAGTTCCTAACTGAAAATAATTAGCACTCAAAAGCTGAAGTACGCGCGCCGTGCGTCGGTGAACGGGAACCATGATATATTAGTCAACGACGAAAATCGAAATAAAAGACTGAAAATACTAGTAGTCGTATTCGTACACATTCTCAATTGCTCACCATTCGATTTCGGCCTTCCTCTGATTCAGCTTCATAATGAGCGCTCTCTGCTTCTTGCGAATGGCCGACACCTTCTCATCCTGACCGTCCTCCTTGCATTTCCTGCAACGGCCACGGTACATCAGGGATTCTGAGCAAAGCAGCCGTTGCCGCGTACAAAAGGAAACGATACAAGAGGATATGGGAGAAATAACGTTATTTTAACAAATTCTCCTAAAATTATATAGGGTAAGGGCGGGTAAGAGTACGCGGGCGATAAGAGTACGCATCAGCTGTTTCGGTTGCTTAGCAACGCGGGTTTGTCGAGTTCATGAAGTGACATGAAGCCGCCAGTGCGTGCATGTCACCAACGGAACGTGGGCGTTGAGCGGCGACGCTGTTGAGTTTAAGGCGATGAATATTATTTTCGAGCGTTATGATATTATTATGATATGGTACAATAATTTTGATACTTGGCAGTTGAGATAAGGTACATTTCCGTGATTGTTGTGGGAAACTTGTGAGGTTATCTGGGGAAATACTGTACAGTGCAATATTCTGTTTGCGAAGTTTTGCACAACGTTTCGGGGTTGTTTTGTGCGCGAATTGCATGTACGGTAAGAGGACGCACTGTTCAGGAGGGTAAGAGTACGCAGAATTATTACGAGCGAGCGAGCGCAGCGAGCGAAGTGAGTCTTTTCAATATAACGGAAAAATCTCAGTATGAGCGGCCCGGCCCGGCCCGGCCCAGCCCGGCCCGGCCCGGCCCGGCCCGGCCCGGCCCGGCCCGGCCCGGCCCGGCCCGGCCCGGCCTGTAACGCTTTTGAGAGGCTTATATCTCAGCAACCGCTGGACCGATTGGCCTGCGGTCTTTTTTGCTGGGTAGCCCCATCCCTTCTACCCCGTAATTGACTACTTTTGATACATCTCAGTGACCGCCGTGGCACGTGCCACGTGAAAAGTCAAGGGTGTTCAAGCAGTTTTGCAAAAGTAATGATTTTGAGAGGCCCATATCTCAGCAGCGGCTTGAGCGATTGTCTTGCGGTCATTTTTATAGGGTAGCTGCATCCCTTCTACCAAAGGTCGGATATTCTTGATCTATGTGAGTGACCCCCACTGCACGTGCAAAATACAACAATAAGAGGTGCTAAATTTGTTCCCATTTCAGTAACTCGGTAATTACTGGGGCGATTTTGCTGGAACTTGGCATACAGGTAGGCACCCACCAGGCAATGCATTCCCATGTGTTGCGGTTAGGGTGCTACTGCACGTGCGCACGTGCAGGGGGCGTTTCCAGATCTCGAGAACGGCTGGGCCGATTGCGCTCAAATTTGGTACACGGTTGGGGACCGGTTAGTAGGGTGCCGTGCAAAAGTCATTTTGGACCCCGTTTGCACGTGCGCACGTGCAGAATGCCGCTTCCAGATCTCAGGAACGGCTGGGCCGATTGCGTTCAAATTTGGTACATCGCTAGCGACCGGTTAGAAGGGTGCTTTGCACAAGCCCGTTGGAAGTACCCTCTCTCCCTTCTGCACGTGCAAAGCTTACTATCTCGCTCGCTCGTTCTTCGCCCAAAAGGCGTTTTACTGGTACAATAAATCGAATATACAGAAATATAGAATTATTAATCTATCGCTCAGTGACGTTTGTTTTGTAGGTAGGTATATCATCAATGGAGCACTGTGATGCAGATGCGTACCCGAAATTCTTCCAAATACGAGTTATTCTCCTTTTTGATTGTGCATTTTTTTAAGAAACGCACGACATGATTATTTCCTGATTTATAGACTTGAAATATTTATTTTATGTTTTTCTTTTTCGATACTAGAATTAACTTAGGTAAATGCCTTCTGAGTTTGAAGTTAAGCATTTGGACAGTGCAAGCTGCATAGGTGTGTGTTCATATGCTTGCGTACTCCACCCGCCTGGCGTGCGTACTCTTACACACCCCATATGGTAAGAGTACGCAAGTTAACGGTTCAGAAAATGTCAGTTTTAGACCACTTCCATTTACGCTGAAGGATCGTTGCCCCATGGGTTGATGGCTAATTCAATGAGCTTTAATATTCCCTATTTGCGATTTCTTTCCTTCAAATATTAAACAAATGAGAGCAAGAAATCCACTAAGTGCGTACTCTTATACGACTTCACCCTACAATCTTTTTCTCACATTATTTCAAATTTTCCAGCACATGGCAGAAAAGTAATAAATCAACAAAAGAACACTGAGAAAGGGTCGTCGCGGTTGTTACGGCACCTTTTCTCCATCTCTAGGCGTTTGATCTGGGCCGTGGTGGAGTCGACCAGCTGTTTCTCCTGGACCCGCAGCAGCGTCATCCGGTGGTGGGAGTGACGCTCCTCCTCCTGCAGCTGCTGGCGCATCTACAGGGCCACAGAGAGGTCACAGAGGGGCCACAGAGAGGTCAGAGGTCACAGTGGGGTCACATAGGTCACAGCGTCATCCGGTGGTGGGAGTGACGCTCCTCCTCCTGCAGCTGCTGGCGCATCTACAGGGTCACAGAGAGGTCACAGGGGTCACAGTGGGGTCACAGAGGGGTCAGAGGTCACAACGGGGTCACATATAGTGCCGGGTCATAGGCCACATTATCTGTACGTCTTCCACTGATTCCACCAATCCAGTAACATAACGAGTTATCAGCAGCCAGTGGCGGGCGCATACGCCCAGTCTTCGACCGCGCTAGCCGGCCGCCCGTGCGTGCCGCCGTAACAAGGGTCAGTTTACGACGGCTTGTGTTGTTGCCCGGGCGGACTGGGGGAGGGGCGGGCGACAGGGTCGTATTCGCGAGCCGACGCGCCGCGGTGTCGTATTCTAATTGGACAGTCGGCCGACGGTGTATCATTGGAGAACGGACCGGCGCTCGGCGCGGCGGTGTCGTATTGAGAGTCGGAGCCGGGGCGGTGTCGTATTCGCGCCGAGGGGAGGGGAGACAGCGCGGTGCCCAGCCCACCGATGGCACGGGGAGGACCGTCGCGACAGTCGGTGGTGTAGCGACAGCTGCGCCACCTCGCTTGCTCAGTCTGCCCCTGGCGGCAGACCGCGAAGCTCTACTTGCGCCGCTACACACAGATGTCACTTTTACTTTCACCGTTACTACCAATGTTCTCCGTGGCTCAACAATGTAAAGCCAAACTGTTCAGTTCCGTTGTTCAACTGGTCTCTTTGATCGACACGAGCCTCACTCGTTTAAATATACGCCTATACCTCCTACGGCGCGGTTTAGCCCTACGGGCACCACTGGGACGGGCCAGCGTCCACCTTGAGGAGGGTATCGATCATAGGGGTGGAGGAGAGTGCACGGGGGACACGGCCCAACCGGCTGGGACATCTACCCAGTACGAGGGATGACAGTGGCGAATCCCGTTTGACTCTCCAAAGCCTCTCCCTCTCCGACTACGACATCTGAAGACTTCGCCGGCTCTCCGAGGGCACCACACCACAAATGGTGACCCCGACGTGATCCTACGAGATTCTGACAGCTCCGCCTCGGCAAGAATAGGTTCTACCCGAACCTGGCCTCCCATCGCCTCGGCAAGAATGGGCTCGTAATTGCCCGGCGGATTGACTGTGTGTGTGTGTGGCACTCGGGCCCGCGAGACCCGCCAGTGATTGCGCCGCGAGCGCACCAGTGACCGCACAGCGAGTGCGCTACAGTGACAGCGCAGCGAGCGCTCTGCGATTGCGCAGCGGGCGCCTCAGTGGTTGCACAGCGAGTGCACTCCAGTGACAGCGCAGCGAGCGCTCTGTGATTGCGCAGCGGGCGCCCCAGTGGCTGCACAGCGAGTGCGCGACGAGCGTTCACCTCCGCCACCATGCCCGACACTGCAGACTCGCGTCCGTCCGCAACGTTTCGCCTGCCCGCCTTCTCGCCGGAGGAAGCGGAACTCTGGCTGGTGCAGGTAGACTGCGCATTCGACGTCGCAAACATCACCGACAATGCGACCAAGTTTAAGCTGCTGGTAGCGAACCTACCGGTGCACGTAGCCTCCCAGGTACGTGACGTAGTGACGGCCACGCCGCCGTCCTTCACGGACCTGGTGACGGCGCTGCGGTCTCGGCTGGCGCAGTCTCGCGCGTCTCGCCTAGAGACCCTGCTCCGGGACCAGCAGTTAGGCGACCAGAAGCCCACCCAGCTGCTGCGTAACATGCAGCACATGCTGGGTAATTCAAGAGATGACACCGGCCTCCTGCGGACGCTCTTCCTCCAGCGCCTGCCGCAGACCACGCGCGCTGCCCTGGCCCTCCTGCCAGAATCGACCGGAATCGACGACCTCGCCAGCGCCGCAGACCGATTCCAGGAGGCGTCGCAAGGTGCCGTGGTGGCCGCCGCTGTGGCCCCGCCGGCCGCCGCTGTCGCTCCGCCGGCCAGCCACTCCTGTAACTGTCAGCAGTCGGCAGGGACGGATCTCACAGCTGCCGTGGCCGCTCTCACCGCGACCGTCGCGCGGATGGAGGCATCGTACAAGAGCCACCGCGCAGACGTTCGGCGACGCAGCAGGTCCCGCCCGGCACGCCGGCCAGCGACGCCCGGCACGGGCACGGCCCGCGCCGACACTCGGCAGCCGCCGGCAACGGACGGGCTGTGCTGGTATCACGAGCGGTTCGGCGCTGACGCCCACCAGTGCCGCCAGCCCTGCTCGTGGCAGGGAAACTAGCTCGCCTGTCTGCCCTCGCGCCAGCAAAGACGGGCGGCCCACCACTGGCGTCCGGCGTGACGCACCATATCGTCACGCGGGGCCCCCCTCGCGTCGGGCGCCCCCGCCGCCTGCCGCCGGACCGGCTCCGCTTCGCTCGACACGAGTTCGAAAAGATGGTGGAGATCGGCGTCGCTCGCCCATCCAAAAGCAGCTGGGCCTCGCCGCTGCACCTGGCGCCGAAACCAACACCCGGACAGTGGCGACCGTGCGGCGACTACCGCGCACTCAACAAAGTAACTGTGCCCGACCGGTACCCGATACCGTTTCTTCAGGATTTCGCCGCGAATCTGCATGGCTGCACGGTCTTTACGAAGATAGACCTCGTGCGCGCGTACCATCAGATTCCGGTTGAACCTGCCGACATTCCGAAGACGGCGATCGTGACGCCCTTCGGCCTCTTCGAGATGTGCCGCATGAGCTTCGGGCTCCGCAACGCCGGCCAAACATTCCAGCGCTTCATGGACGAGGTGATGCGCGGCCTGACGTGCTGCTACGTGTACCTCGACGACATCCTGGTCGCCAGCACGTCCCACGAGGAACACCGCCGCCACGTCCGCCAAGTCCTGGAGCGCCTGGACAGGTTCGGCATCACCGTCAACCCGGAGAAGTGCGTGTTCGGCGCCAGCCGAATCAAGTTCCTGGGCCACGACGTATCACCGGACGGCATCGCCCCTCTGCCGGAGAAGGTCTCTGCGGTGAAGGACTTTCCGCAGCCCGCCACGCAGCGCCAGCTACGCCGCTTCATCGGTATGGTAACCCACTACCATCGTTTCCTGCCGGGTGCCGCCAGCCTCCTATGTCCGCTGCACCGTCTCCTGGACCACAAGCGCAAACGCGCTGCACCGCTGGAGTGGACACCAGACGCAGAGAACGCCTTCCAGCGCGTCAAAATCGCCCTGTCACAGGCCACCCAGCTCGCGCACCCCACGCCCGGGGCCGCGCTGAGTCTGCAGGCTGACGCCTCGGACACCGGGGTCGGCGCCGTGCTACAGCAGCACATCGACGGAGCCTGGAGCCCGCTGGCATTCTTCTCCAGGACGCTGAAACCGCCGGAGACCCGCTACAGTGCGTTCGGCCGTGAGCTGCTGGCCGTGTACCTGGCGGTGAAACACTTCCGGCACTCTCTTGAAGGCCGCCCCTTCACCATCTTCACCGACCACAAGGCACTTGTGTCGGCCATCGGCTCCGGCTCTGTCAGCTACTCGCCCAGGGAGATCAGGCATCTCGACTTCATCTGCCAGTTCTCAACAGACGTCCGTCACGTGCCGGGCAGCGAGAACGTGGTGGCCGACGCACTGTCCCGGACTGTCAGCATGCTGAAGTCGCCGACGCCGCCGCTTCAGGACTTCGAGGCACTCGCGGCAGCACAGCAGGAAGACGGCGAGCTGAAGGCGTACCTCGACACGCCCCACAGCCTGCAGGTGCGCGCCGTACCGCTCGCTGGAGGGAGCTCGCTCCTCTGCGACGAGTCGACCGGCTCACCGCGACCGCTCATCCCAACTGCCCTCCGACGGCACTACTTCCAGCTGCTGCACGGTCTGTCGCACCCCGGCGCCCGCGCGACACAGCAGCTCATCTCCAGCCGTTTCGTCTGGCCGGGACTGAGCAAGGACGTGCGCGACTGGACCCGCAGCTGTGTCGCCTGTCAGCGCTCCAAGGTCCACCGGCACACCCGCGCTCCGGTAGCAACATGGACGCCTCCCTCCGGTCGCTTCGAGGAAATTCACATCGACCTGGTAGGCCCGCTGCCGCCCAGCGAAGGTCAGACCTTCCTCCTCACCTGCGTGGACCGTTTCACCCGCTGGGTGGAGGCTATCCCTCTCCCTGACATCAAGACGCCCACCGTCGCCAATGCATTCGTGTCCGGCTGGATCGCACGCTTCGGCGTGCCGACACGTGTCACCACCGACAGAGGTTCGCAGTTCGAGTCGCACCTCTGGCAAGAACTGTCTGCCATCCTCGGCTGCACCCGCCACCGGACCACCAGCTACCACCCGCAAGCAAACGGACTCGTCGAGCGGGTGCATCGCCAGCTGAAGGCAGCCCTCCGGGCCCACGGGAACGAACGCTGGACCCGCTCGCTCCCGCTGGTGTTACTCGGCGTCCGTTCAGCCGTCAAGACGGACCTGGACTGCACAGCCGCGGAACTGGTGTACGGCCAGCCACTCCGCCTGCCGGCCGAGTTCCTCGGCGACGCGCCGACCGCCGCCGTCACGGACCCAGCCTCGTACGCCACTGAGCTCCGCCGCTACATGCGGGACCTGACGCCAGTGGTGCCGCGCGCCTCGGCCACTCACCGGCCGAGCTTCGTGCCGCAGACACTCCGGGACGCGTCTCATGTGTTCGTTCGACGAGAGGCGCGACCCTCGCTGGCGTGCCCGTACGACGGGCCGTACCGAGTGCAGCAGTGCGGTGACAAAACTGTGCGCATCTTGCGAAACGGCCGCGAGGAAACAGTGTCCATCGACCGCGTCAAGCCGGCCTTCGTAGAGCCGCCTGACGCCCCGGCCGCGGCGGCCGACTGCGGCCCCGTCAGCCGACCTTCGAACTCGGCGGTGCCGGCCGCTGGGCCGCGGCTCCTCCTGCCGCCACTTCGCCCTGAGCCGCCACCGCCGCCGCCCCCGCCGCCGCCCCCGCCGCCACCGCTACGACCGTGTCTCCGCACGACACGATCCGGCCGTGTTGTGCGCCCACCAGCGCGTTTTCTCCACGTCGCGTTCCACAGCGACGTGTCTGGGGGGAGGGTGGTGTAGCGACAGCTGCGCCACCTCGCTTGCTCAGTCTGCCCCTGGCGGCAGACCGCGAAGCTCTACTTGCGCCGCTACACACAGATGTCACTTTTACTTTCACCGTTACTACCAATGTTCTCCGTGGCTCAACAATGTAAAGCCAAACTGTTCAGTTCCGTTGTTCAACTGGTCTCTTTGATCGACACGAGCCTCACTCGTTTAAATATACGCCTATACCTCCTACGGCGCGGTTTAGCCCTACGGGCACCACTGGGACGGGCCAGCGTCCACCTTGAGGAGGGTATCGATCATAGGGGTGGAGGAGAGTGCACGGGGGACACGGCCCAACCGGCTGGGACATCTACCCAGTACGAGGGATGACAGTGGCGAATCCCGTTTGACTCTCCAAAGCCTCTCCCTCTCCGACTACGACATCTGAAGACTTCGCCGGCTCTCCGAGGGCACCACACCACAGTGGTGACAGAGCGGGAAGGGAGGGTGTGCACTGTGCGTCCTCCATTCAGTTGGAGCTGTGCTCATATGGTGTCCATCAGTGCGGTCTGTGTGTTCGTATAAGCATCAGTCGCAGTGGTGATACATCGGAGATAGGCGTGCAGATCACGGCGAAACATGGACAACAGTGCCCGACTGGTGAGTACCTATGTACAGTGGATCTCATGCATGACACACAGTGAAATGAGGACGGAAGCATGGTTACAGCCAAACTAACGCCAGACATTTGACATCTAAACTAAAGTAGAATAAGAAAACACCCAAGTGGAGTACCCTGACTCACACACACTCTATAAGTTATCGTATTTCAAGACAAGAGCCCACCACAGACCTCTCGTTCTCCCGCGGCTCACTTACGATATCCAGTGTGAACTGAGTGGCGTCGGGCAGAACGGAGCGCGCCAGGCTGCTCAGACTCTTGGAGGAGCGGAGTGACGCCCGCAGCGAGGCGGTCGAGTCGCTGGCCAGAAGACGAGACTCGGACAGACTGGCTGAAGAGGGAGGGAAGGTACAGTGTCAAACCGCTACTGGGGTTACAGTGATCGGTGGACGCAGATGGGTTTGAAGCATATGTTTACGTTCGAACACAAATGCAGTCCGTGTGTCGAGCCTACGATTATGATCTGACGAATAGTTTACAGTGGATGCATCACACCGCTGAGAAATATCACACGAGTGTGCAAATCTCCAGTGTGTTACCGAAGTCTTACCTTTGGCCGCCTTCTGCCTGGCCGTGGTCCTGGGCGGCCGCCTGGCGCCGCCCTCGGCCGCCGCGCCGCCCCCGCCCGACCGTTCCGAGGCGGCCGAGCGTGCCGAGTCCTCCGCCCCCGTCCTCCCGGAGGACGCAGCTGAGGAGGACCCGGAGGACCGGCGGCCGGCCTCGCTGTTCTCCGTCACCGTGTTGGCCGCGGAGGCGGCGCTCGTCTCGGTCGTCCCGCTCTCCTCTGTGGAGATACTGGTTTCCGTGGGGACACTCCGCTCCGCCCCGGCGCTGGTATCCGCTGCTGTGCTGGGCTCAGTGGCCGCGCTGGTGTCCGGTGCCGTGCTGGGCTCAGTCGCCGCGCTGGAATCAGGCTCCTCGGTGGAGACGGAACGGGCCGCCTCACTGCGGCCGGTAGCAGGCTGAGAGTCGGCCCCGGGTGCTGTCCGCGTCGAGCTGGCCGCCGAGTTCCGCGCGGAACTAGCCACTGAGCTCTGAGCGGAACTAGTCGCCGAGTTCCGAGCGGAGCTGGCTGCTGAGTGTTGAGAAGAACTAGTCGCTGAGCTCTGAGCGGAGGTGGCTGCTGATGGTTGAGAGGAGGTGGTCGCTGATGACTGAGCGGAGTCAGCCGCTGACGATACCGGAGGAGACGGGGGCCGCTTCGGCGCCGGCCGAGGACGCCTCAGCTGAAACAGGCAACGGGGACATCATCAGTGAAAAGTGAATGTCGAGCATATAGACATATATACATACATATAAGGTCCCGCGTCTCCAACGGACGAACTGTCAAAGGCGTCTGTCACACGAAACTTCGGTGAATGTAACCGAGTGGGGCGCAGACTGTGAAAATGGAAAAGTTTCGATCCTGCCAGGATTCGAACCTGGAATCTTCTGATCCGTAGTCAGACGCGTTATCCATTGCGCCAAAGCTGGGGAACATTAGTGTTGCCAGCGGGGGAACTCCAAACGGGAAGAGGGAAGGAGAAAGAAAAGATTTTGTAATACATTTCGGTCCAATGTAAGGCACTCATTCTCAACTACGAGCATCCAAGAGCTCACTGAGTCAATATCGTCGCCCTCCCTTAATTCCGTCGGGAGATATTCCACGCGAAAGCTATGGTTCCTTTCTTGTGATCGGGAGGTATCAATTGAAGTCTTTGATGATAGTTTCCTATGCTGGGGAATGGGCGTTGCAGTCTCTCCCTCGACCAATCAGAGGGCGGAACCGATCGATGATCTACCGGTTCCGAGTCTGGTGGAGCAGTGGACCTCTTATGAGCTTTAGCAAAAGGTGCTGGAGATGCCGGAGATGCGTATGCTCTACTGAAGCAAGATTCAGTCGTATCGGTAGAATGCATCCCGGAGCCAGCAAATGTAAACAAACGTTGGACAAAGCACGTGAGTCTGGCGAACATACAGCGCCAAGTGTAGGTTATTAATTTTTTTACATTAATGGCATGCATGGGCAGTGTTATGCTGAATATATTTATGTTGAAAGTCTTGAAAGTGGGTAGAGAAGAAGGTACCTTGTCAGTATCGATTTCTGTTTCAGTTTTGCATCGACATTGTTAGAGGTTCCAACGTATTTGATTGGTATCACCGGAGTTGTCATAATGATAAGGTTTGCATGGAGGATGTCAAATAAAAGGACATTACATTTTAGTCAAAATAAATGCATTGTTCATAGGTTTTTTTAAGTATGATTTAATTTTATTGAGAGCAAGCATTTTTGAAATAATTACACTGTTTAAGCTTAAAACAGTAGACGCCTAAAACATGGAAATTTTATATGAAGGCCCTCTGAAGCACCGTACTACTGTTGACAGAAAACAATGGGGAAAAGTCACAAAGCCTTTGGACAAGCCATCTGGGCCCAGCGCCTGAAAAAATTCGCACAACAAAAATGCTGGACGCCGGACATGGGCAGCAGGCCCGGTCTGAGACAGCCGAGGGCTGTCCTTGACCTGTATAACAAGGTGAGTTGGAGACATATGGAGCTTAGATCGCCTACCATCAATTGTTAACTTTCCGAAAAATCTACATTTTCTTAGTCTCTTATCTTAGTCTTCTTAGTCAGAGGTATACAGAGGTCTATGGTAATTGGTATGTATTATCATTAACATAATATATGATTGTATTTGTGTTTCAGGTCCAAAGATGCCCACGGCAGTGCGGCAGCCAGCAGCCGCTGACCTTCCGGGGGGTGGCTGCGCTGCAAAGAGGCTGTAACTGTGGACTGCACAGTGTAAGAGCAGACAATTCATGGAGAACTTCTTGATGCCTAGTTCCCATATACTTGTGGTTTTAAATGACTTCTTTTTGGTACAGGGATGCAAACATACACCATAGAGTATGAGAAAGCCCTTATGAACTCATGTTCACATGTGTTTGATTAAATTATTTTTTTTAAAGAGAATCCTGCTCAATACGCATACCATAACAGTGCACCATTTTTCAGTGAGTAACTAGGTCTCATTCTTTTTCAGAGCCCCAGTCATCATGCACCATTCTTGCATCCTCACTAGAATGTCAGCTGTGGCTGGGTGGTCCTATTTGATGCTTCTAATCACTATTTCTGACTAATTTATTTGCTTGGTGTTGGACATGTCGCTGTTTTGCTGTTTTTTTTTTGGGGGGGGGTGGTGGATGGCTTGGACAATAGCACAGTATAGTATTTTGAGTACATCTGTGGTGTCCTGGGCTGAGAGTTGTACCTATTACTTGTAAAGGTGTGCTGTGTTGTTGCACAGGTCCCCAGGCTTAGTGCTGGTGCTTGCGAGCTAACACAACAGTGCAATGGTGTGGTGGCTGGTTAACTTATGTTCACAAGTTTGTTTTATCCCATTTATTGTTAACCTCACTGCTTTTCATGACATTTTTCTTTCCTTGGTTTTGCAAATGCTTTGCTTGGGCTGCATACTTAGAGCATGATGGTCATGATGGTGGCTGAATTCAGTACGCTGAGCTGCATCCAACCCATGCTCTAGGACCCCCATGACAGGGCTGGGATCCAGCGGATCCGGCAATATGTTGAGTCCGGCCGTCTGGCGGAGCTGAGGCAGCGCCCCAACATCCAGCCCAATCTGCAGCTTGAGCGGCATGCTGCAGGCCAGGTAATTATAAACATAATATGTCATTGCCACCCAAACTGGCTGTTCACTTGTGTTGTTTGCTCTTAGAGTACCTCATTGTGTGGGCATTTCTTGTTCTTTGCTGCCAAAACATGATTACGGAGCGAGCGAAGCGAGCGGAGTCTTTCGTAGATTAACCCGCGCCCTGCTGGGGGGGGTGTTTGAACACCCCCCCCTTGTGGTTTTTCGCGAATATCTCAAAAACGGCGGCGCGGAGCGCCGCCGTTTTTGGTACACCTTATCATACATCAATTCTACACATGTTGTGAAAATTTCAGACCAAGGTCATTCAAGGTCAGGTCACCAGGTCACTTGAAGTGACCTCACCTCATAAAAACTTTCAATGTCTGTCATAGCTACACCGAGTGACCGATCGCTTTGAAACTTTCAGCGATTGCTAAGAGCAATAGCATGTACAAAATGTATATCTCAGAATTTTGATATCGATGACCTAAGGTCAGGTCAATTTTGCGACCTCCCCATTATAAGTCAATGGGAGAAAATTGAAATGCGCCTCTTTTGGATGAAAGACATTATTAACACTCCCAAACACCGAATTACAAATGGTTTAGACACACTGAACTTGAAAATGGTGTCCGTGACCCTTGTTTATGCCCTGAGGTCATCTTAGGTCACGAATGGTATCTAACAGTTTTTCGCAAATAACTTTTGATAGAGGCATGCTAGAGCGATGAAAACGCCTTAGATGTGTTCAGCTCGACGATACGGATCGACTGATATGCAACATGACCCTTTCCGGTCAGGTCATGACCTTGACCTGAGGTCAAATTTTCAAGTTGACCTTTCAAGGTCAAGTCATAGTTCATTCGATGCGTCTTGACGAGAGGAACACGATGCCGGTGAAAGTAAGCTCATACAAGGCTTGGGTCAAAAGTTATTGCAGAAAAACTGTTTTCGAAAAAATCGGCTATTTTTGCAGTTTTTGCCCCCTGCAGGCAAAACCGTTGACGTTAGGTCAAATCTGAGAGAATTACTCAGAAAGGGCGTTAATAGGGCTATCGAATGCGCTTTTCCGCGGCGCTGTAGCTCTATTGGTTCCCGAGTTATGCGTTGGCTTCTTGGAAATTTTCGACATTCGACCTGGAAATCGGCGAAATTTTGCCTTCAATGACCTCTGGTGACCTGACCTTTGACCTGACCAAAAAATTGACCGAAGTGATTTCGTCATTATTTTTTACGCTCTTTCGAACGCCGCCTTCCGCGTATCGCTACGTGGCTCAGGAGCCGAGTTACAAGGGGGGGTGTTCAAACACCCCCCCCCCCAGCAGGGCGTGGAAATCCAAGACCCCCAGCAGGGCGCGGGTTAACGGAAATTTCTGGGTATGAGCGGCCGGCCGGCCGGCCGTGCGGACGCTTTTGCGAGGCTTATATCTCAGCAACCACTTGACCGATTTACCTGCGGTAATTTTTGTAGGGTAGCTTCATTCGTTCTTCCAAGCAGACATGGGCATGGATCCCAGACAACCAATCACGAAAATCGAGATGGTCATTAGATGCATGTGGATGATCCCTTATGTAGGTGCCACGTGCAAAAAGAAGAGGTGTCAGTTTTGTAATAGTTGCAATACCGTAGCTTCGTGCAACTTTGGCCCACTTTTTTCGTTGAGCCTCAATAATTAAGTCATCTTTTATGTACAATGTTAAGCAACATGGTCTGGATAGAGGTCACCCCTTTTCCAGGCATGGGCCAAAGTTGCCCTTGGTGGCCAAAGTTGCACGAAACTACGGTATCTCGGTAACTACTCGGCCGATTGCGCTAAAAGTTGGCATGTAGGTAGGCACCCACTATGCAATGCATATCCATGTGCCAGAGTTGGGGTGCTGCTGCACGTGCGCACGTGCAGGGGTCGATTCCAGATCTCGAGAATGGCTGGACCGATGGCGCTCAAATTTGGTACGTGGTTAGGGACCGGTTAGTAGGGTGCCGTGCAAAAGTCAGTTGGGACCCATTTTGCACGTGCGCACGTGCAGGGTGCCGCTTCCAGATCTCGAGAACGGCTGGGCCGATTGTGCTCAAATTTGGCACATCGCTAGAGACCGGTTAGTAGGGTGCCGTGCACAACTCAGTTGGAGGTACCCCCTCGCAATTTCGCACGTGCAAGGCTCACCCTCTCGCTCGCTCCGTTAGTCGCCCCAAAAGGCGTTATACTGGTTATCTAATATCGCTTGGCAATGACACAATAGAAACCTGAAGGGTGGTCGAAAGCCTTCTGGAATAGGGTTAAGCTAAGCACTTTATCCTGTATCTCATTAATACTTAATTCTATTCTTTTCCAGGGACTACAGCCAGCGACCTCCACTTCCAGGCCTTCCTGATCGAGGGTCTGGTTAGATGGAACGCGGATCGTCACCTGGCGGCGATCGGACAGGACAGCGCCCGCGAGGTCCGGTGCTACGGACGAGTACAGGGTGCTACGACGGCCGGATACGGGCAGCCGTCAACGACCTGTCGCAGAGGGTGCTCAAGAGGGACCTAGTCACCAGAAGCGAGCCTCTTCGATACACGGGTAAAAAGTCGCATGCTACAGTCACACAAATTATACAGTACAAAAACTGCCAACTAATGCCAATGATCGAATGCAGTTAAGTCCGCTAGCCTCCATTGAATTTGAACTTATGAAAAGGTTGCCGCTGCCGCGACAACCGATCAGCTAAAATTATTTACTACCTAATACCTATATACATAAAACGAACTTACGTACCAAGACGTGTCAAGTTGTCACAAGTCGTGAAACATAATGTTTCACACATGCTTCTGTTTACATTC